CCAACTCCGATGATTTCTCATGAGGGGTGAAAGTCACATATCAGATTTCTTAAAAGAATCTCCAGTCAGCACTAAAGTAAGTGCCGGAGTTGTTTCATTTATGCCTATATTTGCATAGATACTGCACATAACTTGCTAAATACCCAAAGGAGAACTTTTTTTCTCTAGAGTCTTTAAGTTAGTCGTTTCTTTCAATGTGGGGGACATTTCAACGTCAAAATGTTTGGAAAATATAAAAGACAAAAGCAATTACTGATAAAATATTTCATAAGTTAATTCGTCAAAACCGACATTTTAATGCTACGGTCTTCTGAAATTATTGGTATTTATATTGTTGTTCATTTCATTTTCTCATTATATTGATTTACATTTTCAAATATATTTAAACTTATCAGGCGTTTCTTACTTGGGTTAAGGAGCTAATATATGATCATAAAATAATATAAGGTAATGTAGTATTTCCCCTGCTCACAATCATTTTTTAACTAGGGCAATGCTTGTATGACAAGCTAAGGTTTTTTTTTTAATTTTTAATAATGAACAGACGTTTTCATTCCATTTTCACTCAGATACTTTGGCATTATGCAATATCTGCATTTCATTGATTATTAGTTTTTTTTTCTTTGCAGCATTAGGCCACGATTACATGAAAAAATTATTTCATTAATTTCAAAAGGATATGCTGACATGGGATTTATTGAAGTATTCATTCGTTTATGTAAACGCCAATGGATTACACAGTTTATCTTTGATTCCGTCGAAAAGCATTAGGCACTCATTTTAAATACAAGGAATGAAAAATATTTTAATTCAGCTTCAGTCCAGGTTAATATATTCAAACTGGTGGATTGAAAATGAATCACACTCCTTTTTTGTGAAACTAAAATAATTTACAGCGGATTGGTAAGCTGAACATCAACTTTTTCTATTGGCATATGTTGCCTTCTATTTTATAGTATTTTAAAAAATATAGTTTAAACTGAACTGAGAGTTTTTTCTAGTGGTGTATTTCACAATTTTCATTATGTAAACTAGAACATTAATCATAATCTTTTACAATATGCCAATTACAAATCTTCTGTACGGGAAGTTGCGCTGCATCTCAACTGTCGAGGAGTCCTTAATTCAAACCGGTCATATACTTCTAATTTGTAAATTCTTCTATTTATACTCTCTTTTATAGTTTACGAGTGGAAAGCTTAAGTTTAGAGTGTCAACTACGAGGAAACTAGAAAAAATGCATTTATTGAGTTCAAATGCTGATAATTAAATAGATTTTGCGTCCACACTGGGTTGCTTGAAAGGTGTCAATTTCATAAAAGTGTGCATATATGTACAGTATCATAACTAGAATTACATTAAGCACGTCAGACAAAACTGACAAATCAAAAACGAAAAATCCATATAAAATACATTTATAGCTGAACTTTTACATCTGCAAAAATGTACATTCTTTAAAGGGAAAAGGTTAAATAATGAATGCCACTTTTTTATTGATGCAAACTCTGTAATCAGGGTTATCATTATATGCAGCTTAAAGTTTGTGTCATAGACTTTTAGAGGAAGAACAAAGATAAATTTCAATATTTGACCAACATGACCAACTTAGTCCTACCGTGGGACCTGACCCTAAAGCAAAAAATAAGATTTCTTTGGGATGGTTCTAGCTATTCATTATTATCATACAAACAAATCAGCCTGTTTTATATCCATAAGTAAAGGATAGGATAAATATGACTACGTTAATCCCACCTTCCTGAAACTTAATATAAGAGACCATAAATTACAAAAAAAAAAAAAAAAAAAAATAGAGAGCTTAGCGTGAATTATAATTCAGCATAAGTTTGGCTGATAGATGCTCATGAGTAAATGAATAAAAATGGTTTTAAAAGATGAACCATTTATCCTTATCTTAAAAGAATTGGAAAGACTACAAAAACTATAACTTATGGTAATATCTACTTTTATTTTAAAGTTAATCATTGTACATGTAACTGTGATTAATAAAGGAAAACTTGGAAATAAAATAAATTAACAAATTAACTTTGCTAACAGTCACTCTTATTCTACATACTAGTAAATGTACTGTGGCGGTGAAAGTAAATCGATCTGCAGGTACATGTAGTCTTTGGCGGCCAGCTCTTCCATTTATCTGATTGAGTTTTAGTGGACACTTTTGTGTGTCTTTGTTACCGTGTAGATTTTTTTTTAAAGGCAGAATTGATAGGAAATCTTTTACAAGTTAGAAAAGTAGATTAATTGATTGTATATTGTTTATCGTGGCCTTTATCTCGACATTCAAGTATATTTTACAATTATTACCTCCATTCGTATATCAATTCGATGTATATCAATGAGATCAAAATTAAAGAAACCTACAAGTATGTTTAATATGAAATATTTTACTGACGATAGACGGTAATGGCCAATTTCTTACTTTAAAGATAGATGAGCTGTTTGCAGCTTATCCAAACCTATTTGATATTAAATAGCATGCTTTATGCAAGGTTAATTCTTTTATAAACCTTTCTGTTACTAAGATTTCAACAATCTCATTATTTAAATAGTTAATTTAAGAATTTCGTTAACATTCTTGGGCCCTTGGTTAATACTAGGTTTGACTATTGTATACTCTGTCTATCTGATCCATATGTAGGCTCCAGCTAGTCGACATTTTGATTACTACTCCTATATGCACCTGATCCCTGGAATATTCAAGTGTCTATGTTTTTTGCCCTCTTTACAGTTGTGCGTTGTTTGTGAGGGTTTTAGATCGACCTTTTTTTGTTTTCTACATCTTTTTATCCTTTTCATTAATATCTATTTTGCAAGTAAGGTTTAGGACCATGATTACTTGTTGTACTATTAAAATATTTATTAAGATTATTAATTTTGTATGAGATGTCGGCTTCGACTTTATTTGACACTCAGGACAATTGAACATTGTGGGTTTATTATACAAACACCTAACTTGCCAAACGCCTAATAGGTTTATAATGTTTTATTTTAAGGTATTTAATGTATAATGGAGAGATTTTGAACAATCTTATATAACTTTTAACTATTTAAAATGCATTGCTAGGTACATGTAACGAAAAAAATACCAAATTCACGAGACTGTTAACATGTAAGGAGACAGTCATTTTGCATGCTAAAAGATTTTAAAGAGTTATCTACCCTTGATTAAAAGAAGAAAATTTTCAATTTTTCAAAACTTCGGCGGTAAAAAATAAAATTTATTCCACAGTTTAATAAAGAGGGGGGTTTTTCATATTTTCACCAAGAGATTTGTTTGAAATTCAAATTACTTTTAACAATATCTTCTAAAAACATGTGCTACCCATAGACTTCAATGTAAAATATTTGACAATAATCTTATTTTTTTGTAAATTCCTTTAATGGAGCATTTTAATTTGAATACCATCTTCAAAATGCTTCCATGATCAAAAATATTGGACTATTCATTTATTATGTACAAAATATGGTAGGCTTTTAAAATTTGATTTTAGATAAGGTATTCTAATAATTGTAGTAATAGCATATGAACTCTCAGGATATCAGACAGTTGCATTTTTTTAATTATATCTTTTCAGATATCATTTCAGTATTGCCTTAAAAACAAACCTCCTAGCTCCCTCGAGATCGAAAAAAAAATACGCAAACGATTTTTATCGTTCGCCTGCAGAGCTAAGCTGGCGTGTTTTTTGTCCCAAGGAGTGTCTTTCATGCATATCGAATGCAGTATCCTCTGGTTCAATGCATGTTAATGTTCAATTTCTGCATAATTGGTATGGCATAGACAAAACAACAAATAATAAACAGGTGTCGCTATTACATCTGATAATTACATCCTCCTTCCACGCATTTATCGCAATGATAATTGTTACTGAAGATCTCCCAGGATATATTAATACATTTCATATGATAAATAATATCAAATGTATAAATTGTACGTTTTAATCATACTTTTAAAAAAGAAATTTCAGACAATGCATAATAATCGTATCAATATATTTGTTCTAGGCGTGATGTATTACAGAAGTTGCTTGATAACAATACCTATGATAACAGAATAGCACCTAATTATGAAGAAGGTAGGTGAAGTGTAAACCGAATGAAAGGAAAGTTCAATCAAATATGATTAATAATTGGTTTCTCTTTTGTTTTGTATAAAATTGACAATATGTGTATGTCTCTGGAATTGGATTAGAGTCATTGAGAGATCGTTTATTTGCGATGAAACTAATTTATAATCAATAGTTCACGGATATACATTATACATAACACAATGAATATGCTCTTAACTTCAAAGATTCACATCAATTTCATTTCATTATCGATCGATTCAAGTCTATATTATCAAAAATTGATGTCATATTTATTAAACAGTCGTTCATTTCCTTGCAACCAAGATAAAACCATTCTTTTTCTAAATGAATATCTAAGAAACTTAAAAAAAATATGCAAAAATGACAATCCAGTAGTGTTGTTTTTAATGATGTTCTTGAAATTCAATCCATGATTACACAATAAATTCTCAAATTTGTGTAGTTAATTTACATTCTCGGTTTCAAATTAATGTAATACAATTTATCATTTAGTATAAGATTTTTCATTGGTAGAATTATTATATATATTAAAATGTTTGAAAGCGTTTGATATCTTACTCTGCATTTCCTAAGTGAATATCACAAGTGACTACAACATACATGTAATAAAATGGCAGTAGAGCGCGATCGAGTCTCTCACCTACATTTTTTGTATTGTAGAATTTGCCATTGAGTGTAAAATAAAGATTGGTCTTGATATAACCATTGTGTATCATAAAACTTATTCATATTGTTTTTATAGGGAATGTGATCTTTTATTTTGAACCAAACTTAAATATTTGACATGATACGAAGGATTACCAAATAAATATTTTAATGAAATGAGCAAAAGTGTCAGAAACGTCAAAAAGTGAACGAAAATTGTTAGCTTAACTGATTATTAGAATAATTCATATTATATAATTCTGCCTTAAAAGCATGGATAAAATACATGTTATTTTTATGAGACCTTTGCTTCTCTGTTGCAGATAGAGCAACCAACGTAACGCTGAAGTTGTCTATCATTAGTATCGATTCAATCAATGAAATATCAATGGTGAGATGATGTACATCACTTTCTGCATGTATATATCAATAATACATGACATCTCCTATCTTGTCATATTAATCTCCTGTCTATTCACTTTTTTTTCTATTTGTATGTACCTAGGATTTCTCTCTAAATTTATTTCTTTACCAAACCTGGGTGGATCCACGCCTTAATTTTACAAAGTACAGTAATTTTTCAAGTCTGGAACTCGACCAGAAAATGATAGAGAATGTTTGGGTTCCCGATACGTACTTCCCAAACGAGAAACAAGCCACATTCCATACAGTTACAGTTAACAACAAATTACTCCATATCTATCAGAATGGGACAGTTTTCTACAGTATCAGGTGAGTACTGAAGTGTAGAGAGCACCAAATCAGAATTTATTGCATTTGCCCATTCTTAGTTATGTTTCTGACGAGGCGGGATAATAAATGGTTAAGTACAATTTATTGAAACCTATTTCAAAATTTAAAAAATAATGAAATAAAACTTCCTGTATCTCAGGAATCCCAAGATAACAATGCAAATTTCATTCGCTATTTAAATGTTCTTCGAGAAAATTTCAAATGTTGATTATAATTCTGATCACTTGACCAACCACAATAAGCCTTTTGGTATAAACAAACTTGGATATATGCCTTGAGTCAAATTCTTTCTTTTTATTATTTAATGTCAACGTGTGAAAGCCCTATATTTAATTGGCGTTTCATTACAAGAGAAAAAAATTAAGCCAGTGAATAACCCAAATGTAGTCTATCAATGGTCCCACAACTACGTGTGGACTCGGGTTCCCTGACATTAAGAAGATATGGATTTCTGTTTGATTTTGATACTAGGAATGCTAAAAGTGTTGAATATGAGCCAAGAATGGGCGAAACATAAAATGTGATTTATGACAAAGACCTTGAATTGCTTGATCTTTTGTACGAATTATGCTCCATTATGGCGATTTGGATGACAAACTTCTGATCGAGTAACAAGGCCTGGAAAGTCTTCACCAGAGCTTGACACTTAATATTCATGTTTGATTTTTTTTCTTGTTTGGTTTATTCGATTGTAAGCACATATAACATCATACACTCATTCTAAATCAATAAAAACGCTTTTCAAAAATAAAATGTCCACTTTAAAAACTTATGATTTATTCGAAAATTTCTAAACCATTTTCACAACAACAAAAAAACCATTTGACTTAAACTTATATGCCATTTTGTGTGTGTGTGTGTGTGTGTGTTTTTTTCTGAGAACAATCGGGAACACAATTAATTGTCATCAAGAAATTAAATTAACTAAAGCATAGGGAAAAACGGGCCAAATTTGCGTTCTCTCTGATTAAATTACTAACATCATTTTTCTTTCACCAGGTTGTCTATGACGCTGACTTGTACCATGAAACTTCACAACTTCCCACTTGATGACCAGGAATGCACAATTTTTTTGGAAAGCTGTAAGTATTGATTGGGAAAAGGCTTCACAGAGGAAATTCCGGAGGGTGATATAGCGCACAATTAAATAGTCACCTTAGAAGGGTTGATCGTCAAGGAGGAAACCGTTAGATTGATGACCACTGCTTAAGCAATTGATTTTTGTCACTGAGGAAAAAAGTAAAGGATTTTATTTCTATATTTGTCTTCTCTGGTCATAATGTTTGTATTCAAACAGTTTTTTCTCTTTCTTTGTTAATCCGCTATATAAAGAAGTTTTATATTTAGATGTGAAAAATCTTTATCAGATACCTGTAAAGGACATCCTTACAATATCAGGCGTCCTGAGTCTATTCGTGACCGTAGATCCCTTGACAAACAGTTCTTTTTTCAGGCCTGAACTAATGTTAAACTTCATTTAATACTTTTTTTTGGTCCAGAATCGTGCATTGAGAAGCTCCAATCATTCGAATTCTTAATATTGTCATGAAAATGATACAGGTATTAAGCAGATGACACATCAAACACGTGCTACAGGCAGATTGTCAAAATATTCATGGGGAGGTTTACACTGATTGGTCAAGAGATAGAACGATCTTGGTATGTAATTTATCTCTGATGTTTCAAATGAAGTTTGTCAGGGGTTCCATGGCGTGGAGTGGACTCAAGATTCTTGCGTTGTTGGATGCGTAATATAAAGGATTTAAAAATACAAAGAACTAGTGCTAATTGTAACGGGGACCGTTACAGATGTTCCCCAAACGCTCCCCAAATCCCTTTTTGGGCCTAATTCCTGTAAGACATTTTTAATATGATCAGTATCAAAGGATTTCATCAAAGAATTATAAAAGCTACAATGATATCAAATATATGTAATTTAACGCATTATATATACGTGCACGCACGTGCATGTACATGCAAGATGATCCCGGCATGTTGTCTAAACAATTAATCTATATATCGTTAGAATAGATAAAAAAAAAAATCTTTACAATATACATTTTAATGTTTTTTTTAAAAATATTGGCCATTTTGCGTATTTCGCGCGCGCACGTGCATGAAAGCATGTTCGTGCATTAAATTTTTATAGTACCACTATGTAGGAATCCATTACACCTATTCATATTTTAAATTTTATCCAGTTTCGTTGAAAACTCAGAAAGTTATAGACATTTAATTTTCAGCCAATCAGATTACAGCACAAGTGCATGCGCATGCTTTTCATAATAATTCTTATATACCATACTGTAGATCTTTATAATGTATACCCATGTTCAAAATTTCAAAGAATTTTGTCGAAAAACAAGAAAGATATTGAGACTTTAGTTTCAGCCAATCAGAGCAAAGCGCACGTGCATGTGCGTGAGATCTTGCTATCTTGACCATGTCCTCTAGTCTCTGCGTCTTATATGTCCTTATATTAAAAGTTTCAAAACAGTTCATCAAAAATTTAAATAGTTACGTCTATATCAATTATATTGGACATTTTTGGTGTTTTACGTGCGCGCTCTTGCAAGCACACGTGCATGCACATGCTTTCATGACAATTCTTTTATATCAGGCTGTAGATCTTCCTAATGTATGACTATATTCAAAATTTCAAAGGATTCTATCAAAAAACAAGAAAGATATTGAGACTTTAGTTTCAGCCAATCAGAGCAATGCGCACGTGCATGCGCGTGAGATCTTGCTATTTTGACCATATCATCTTGTCTATGGTACTAATATATCCTTATCTTATGATTTTTAAAAAAATTCATCAAAAATTTAAAAAGGTACGGCTATATTCATTATATTGGTCATTTCACGTGTTGCACGTGCACGCTCTTACAAGCACGTGCGCGCAAAATGACCTTCGTTCCGCAAATCTACATTACATGCCTAGTGACCCTAAAAAGGTTTCACCTTAATCAAATGTGTAGTTTACAAGATCACTCGCAGAAAAGATTTTCCCAGGAAGAAGAAAAATAATAATAATAATAATAATAAGAAACAGAGTAAAAACAATATGTTCCCCAACTTCGTTTGGGGAACATAATAAAAAAAAGGACGACAAAGAACAAATACACTGGAGTGATTATGTAAAATGGCGCACCTGTTATAAAGATCTTAGATTATGAAAATACATAGATAAGTAGACAGATCATAGTTTCATTACAATCGAGTGTTCAGGTATACTAACGACGCTGTTACAATATAACAGTTTCAATGATACATTCAAGTTATGAAACTGAAACTGTATGCCATCAATTATATTTGTAAATTTCGCTAAAGTAAAGCATTGTATTTTTAGCTCACCTCAACGAAGTTAGGGGAGCTTATGTAATACCCTCGGCGTCGGTGTCGGCGTCCCATGTTCAGAATACGTTTTTGGAGCAGTTTTCTTTTTAGGTACTTCTATGTCCTATATTGATTAGACATGCATGGAAGATGTTTCTAGTGTGTTTAATTGTACAAGTCAAAGTTTCAGATGCTGCAATTTCAGCAAAGCAATGACCAGGTTAATGTTTTTTGGAGCAGGTAATATTTTTGGTGCAGTTTTTGGTGTAGGTCTCATTTCCGAGTAACTACAAGCCCTATGTTGACCAAACTTGCATGGATGATACATCTAAGGATGCACACTACCAAGATTGTTTCGGATGCTGAATCTGACCTACATTTTACGCATGAATGAACAGGTTAATGTTTTTGGTGCAGGTCTCATTTCCAAGTAACTATGAGCAATATAATGACTAAACTTGCATGGATGATACATCTTAAGATGCACACTACCGAACGTGCTTCGGATGCTGAATCTGACCTACATTTTCCAATAGAATGAACAGGTTAAAGTTTTTAGTACAGTTTTCATTTCCAAGTTACTATGAGCCCTATAATGACTAAACTCTTGCATGGATGATACATCTAAGGATGCATACTACCAGACTTGCTTCGATGCTGAATATGACCTACATTTTG